ATATTAGGAGGAATCATGTGATGTCGGTTGAAGCCAGAGAGTTTAAATAGATAGCTTCCTAGTTAGGCTATAGATATAACAGCTAGTGTAGAACTCCTAGCATAGCACTAACGCTTCAGGCAGACTACTTAAATAGGCAATCAAAAGTTGTATGTGTGACTAGTTGTACTCTCGTGATACTAATAAAATATGTAAAGCCGGTGCTAAAATTAATATTGGCCTACCACTTGTACTAATAAAGTGCCAAGGGCCTAAGTGGTTATCTTAATATTTAAAAAATATATATATATATATATATATATATATTTTATATTGCCAACTATCATAGCCAACTTTTATTAGATATAAATTCTGTTACTATAGTAACTATTATATATACTATGTATAGAAGTACATTTTTAGTATATAAGAGTACAACTAGCTACATATGTACTTTTTGAGTATCTATTTAAATAGTTCGGCAAAGGTTTTATACTAGCTGCCATATCTGTAACCCAACTAGGGAGTTATTTATTTAAACTCTCTAGCACCCCAATCCTGCATTACCCTATTCTAAGTTTACTAACTATACTTTCGTGTTATAACCTACCTAGTTAATATCTAAATAGAGTCCACCCAGATCAATATTTTCCTACTGACTTAATCTTTATTAGACAACCTACTGAAATTAATCATTGGTATTATTCAAGAACAGGTGCAGTAGATGCTTCTCTAATTCCTTCTATGTTCTACACGTTTCCAGATTAGGTTTTAGAAATATTACGTCTTTAAACCTAGATTAGTACTAAAGTGTTACCCCACATATCTCCTGCTCTAATTGGTTTACAATAACTCTAGTACCCATGCTTGAAACTATTTCCTTACCTGGATTCTTTATCAGTCCCTTCCTTATTTCCAGTCAGCAACCCAGAAGGGTTGGTCTGCTCAGACTTTAGATATCTAAAGGATGTTCTCTTCTTGGTTCATACTTTCAAAGCATATACTCTTTTTCTCCAGTACAACAATCTAGCGGTTTAGCTGGTGTGTTCTCTACCAGTAAACTTGGTTACTCGGTTTTTTGATTTTGGGCCCTAGTTCGAATTTAGCACTTCTGTAGTACCATTAAAGATAACTGTTACCTTCAAATTTGGGACTTCTCAAATAGGTTTTCAGTTATGCCAGTTCCTCAGATTTATTGTGCCAAAGCTTCTATTACTAGATAGTGTAATTGAAGTTACAGATTTAGTTCTAGATCCAACCGATAAGTATAGCTGTTAACTGTAATACAAGTCTATTTTTCAAAATCATCATTTGTGAAATTCAAACTCTAGACTTGCAACTTGGAGAGAGTGATGACTAGACTACTACACTAAGTCGCCACACCTTTTTTTAAATATATTATATATACATGTATATATATAAATATATTCTAAATATATTGCAGTATAAGTGTATTATAAATATATTATAAATATATTATAAGTATGTTATAAATAAATTATAACTATACTAGCTGAAAACTCGTGCAATAATACATGGGAATAAATATATATAATTTAGAATAAATAATAAAATTTAAAACTAAATTGAGCGTTAGTTTATAGCGACCTGTTGCCATAGCGACCCCGTGATCGACCAACGAAAAACGATCACGTGATAACTATCTTTACGTGTAGAAAATTAATTTAGTTCGGATCCAATCAAAATTATTTTTAGTTCAAATCTGGATTGAAATTTTTCATTAAAAGTTAAATTTATTAATTACAACATTATTACATAATGATAACAATAATATAGCGATAGTAATAGTATAGTATAAAAAAAAATTTCATACTCTAATAGCAATAAAAAAAAAAATTCAAAAAAAATTTCATGCTCTAATAGCAATAAAAAAAAAAAACAAAAAACCTACGTGAACTTAAAAGATAAAGTCGAAAATGAATAACAAAAAGAAAAAAAAAACCAAAGTGCCAAAAAAAAAAAAACCACTTATCAGATCAAAGTGCTGTTCCCGGTGCTGATTTCAGCGAAATTTAAATAAGTCTAAAGAAAAAAAAATATTACCAAATTCAAGACCAAAATATCTTTCATGATGCTAATTCCACATTCTGATAATACTATACAAAAAAAAATGTTAAGATCGCCAACAACACTGAAATGACAAAAGCTTATTAAATTTACCACTGATGCCAAAATGCGAATTGAAACCACTGACAACACCGAAACAACAAAAGCCTGGAATTGGAATCTTCGCAAGCACCGAAATGACCAAAATGACGAAAGCCTGGAATTGGAATCTTCACAATCACCGAAACGGCAAAGCCCAGAATCTCTACAAACGACAAAAGTTTAAGCTTACTACAGATACTAAAATGTGAATTGAAACCACTGACAACACCGAAACAACAAAGCTTAAACCTACTACCAACACTGAAATAGCCAAAACGACGAAAGCCTGGAATTGGAATCTTCACAAGCACCGAAATAGCTGAAACGACGAAAGCCTGGAATTGGAATCTTCACAAGCACCGAAATAGTGAAAGCCCGGAATCTCTACAAACGACGAAAGTTTAAGCTTACTACAGATACTGAAATGCGAATTGAAACTACTGACAACACTGAAACAACAAAGCTTAAACCTACCACCAACACTGAAATAGCCAAAATGACGAAAGCCTGGAATTGGAATCTTCACAAGTACCGAAATGGCCGAAACGACGAAAGCCTGAAATTGGAATCTTCACAATCACTGAAATGGCGAAAGCCTAGAATCTCTACAAACGACGAAAGTTTAAACTTACTACTGATACTGAAATGTGAATTGAAACCACTGACAATACCAAAACAACAAAGCTTAAACCTACTATCAACACCAAAATAGCCAAAATGACGAAAACCTGGAATTGGAATCTTCACAAGCACCAAAATGGCTGAAATGACGAAAGCCTGAAATTAGAATCTTCACAAGCACCGAAATGACCGAAACGACGAAAGCCTGGAATTGGAATCTTCACAAGCACCAAAATGATCAAAACAACAAAAGCCTGGAATCTCCAAAACCGAAGACACTAAAATGATGAAAGCTTAAAAAAAGAAAGTTGTATTAGTTTAAGCTAAAAAAGAAGAGAAGGAAAAAAAAAAACAATCTATGAAACCACTTATCCCACAAGCTAATTTTCCCTACCTACTCAGTTTTAAATGAAGCAAACCTACAAAAAAAAGCTAGTACTGTATTAGTTCAAAAAAAAAAAAAGCAAAAAAAAAATAACTTATCTCACAAGTTCTCGGTTCTATTCACAACCTAGTTTTTAGTAAAGTAAGCCTACAAAAAAAATATTAGTTCAAAAAAAAATAAAAATAAAAAAGCAAATAACAAAAAAACAATATATTTCAAATCTCTGATTCTAATCTTTACTATCCAGTTTCTAGCGAAGCAAATAAAACAACGCGAAACAAAAAAAAACAACGCGAAACAGATCTAGATCAAAAAAAAAGATCTAGATCGGATTAGGGAGCAAACTGACAGATTTTGTGATCATCTTGCCAATCTAAAAAATGATTGGCTACTTATATAAGGTCGCCATGTATAATTTTCCAACTAAATTATATTAATTTTTTAATTTAATTTTTTTAATTATTACTATATAGTTTAAAAATTTTTGTTAATTTTTTATAACTATATTACTATATTAAATTATATATAATATATAATATAAAATAATTAATTGATGATTCTCCAGTCAACTAAAGTATGAACTTAGTAAAATATGACTCAAATTACTATATAAATTTACTATGGTGCGAATGTAGCATATACGCATCTAAAACTTTTTGTTATACTAAGTTAATCATCTTTCTTGCTTAAGAGACTTTTGTAAAGCTTGTCAAAACGCATCTAATGGTAGTTAGAGCATCAAAATCGGCTTGGTGAGTACTGAGATATCTTTAAAAAACCTCTCTTTTACTATATAAACTTCTTTGCAAAAAAGAGTATTGTTTGCAAAGAAATTTACATAGTAAAAGAGAGGTTTTTTAAAGATATCTCAGTACTCACCAGGCCGATTTT